ATGCATCGGAGAAGGAAATGGCACCCCACTCCAGTGTTCTTGCCTGGAGAATCCCAGGGATGGGGGAGCCTGGTGGGCTGCTGTCTATGGGGTCGCACAGAGTCGGACACGAGTGAAGTGACTTAGCAGCAGCAACTAGTCTTCTTTAGTCTTTTGCCAATTTAGGACTGTCTGTTTTTTTCCCTAAGACAGTAGTAGAATAGTAAAGCATTATATAAGGCAGAACTGACAAATAATATTTGTGATTTTTAGACTTCCATATTGTCCTCATATTGTACAAAAACTTCATGAAAATAGTCATGAGTTCCACAGTTATAAAAGATAAATCTCTTGGCAAATTTCCAAGATCCACACAACATGTATTTTGACATTATAAATGTCTGGTTGATGCTTACTTTTAGTTTAGTGATAAGAAGTATGGTGGTCAGGGGTCTCTTAAATGCAACCAATCAGGAAATTATGGTTTTAATACACTTCTGAATAAGCTTGTGGCTACATCATGCTGCCTTACATTTTTTCCTTTGTCTCTGACTCTCAATTTTTCAGTAGTTCTTGTACTATAAAAAATGCAGGAGAGAAATTAGAACTCAAAAAGTAACATTTAACTTCCTCCAGATATAAAAACAATGTTCAGAGAACATGATGGAGTGAAATGGAGTAAATAGTTTTAAAAGTGTTTGAATTATCTCTAGGTCTAGGTCTTTATGTTTCCATGTTTCCTATTAAACATGGCTCAGATGGTAAAGAATCTGTCTGCAATGCAGGAGACTGGAGTTCAATCCCTGGGTCAGGAAGATCCCTTGGAGAAGGGAATGACTACCCACTCCAGTATTCTTGCCTGGAGAAGTCCATGGACAAGTCAGCCTGGTGGGCTACAGTTCATGGGGTTGCAAAGAGTTGACCATGACTGAATGACTAATATTTTCACTTTTTTCACTCGTTAAACAGCTAGATATGAACTGGGTTTAGTCAGTTAATACCTTTTGCCTGGAAATGACAGTTAGTACCCTGCATGCATAGGAAATGATGAGTCATCCATTCTCACTATCAAAATACCTCAAATTAAAAACAAAATTTCCAGTAAGAAGTTATATGAAAATTAAAAACAAAATTTCCAGTAAGAAGTTATATGAATCAAAACAGTAGAGGAGGCATGAATCCTTATTCTACAGTGAACATACCATATCACAATGTCACACACAACTGCTAAGCATTTTCTGCTGCAGTTTTCCATATTTAAAATAGATGTAAAAATATGTATCTCATATGAATGGAGTGGGGAGTTCCTGTCTTTTGAGTAGTCACTAGGTATGCTGTACTCAAATTCTACTTGGGCATGAAAGATTGTTTTTCTCATTTCTTTCTCCACTGATGTTAAATTGCCAATGCAAAGAACTAATATAATTGTTGCTATAAGTTGTTTGCAATAGTGGGTGACTCACTAAGACTGTTGATGGTATCATTTCACAGGAGGGTAATCACAGGGGCATATTTCTTTAGGTATCTGAGAAAAAAGTCTGAACCATATCTTTATTATTAAATTCTCTCATATCCATATAAAATGGTGATGAATTAAGCTAAACATAGAAATGAAACTCTCATATTGACTTGTAAAGGTGAGGTTACCTAGAAGAAAAGGAAGCAAAGGGGGTACTGTGGACCCAAAAACAGATCTAAGAATTCTTAACCTGAAAGCTCTTGCCATGAATCCACACTTACTCTGGGCATAAGTATTAACAATAACTCAAACAGCAAAAATGCTTGCTTATCTCAGAGGGCAGTTAAAAGAATAGCTAGTCAGGAATGTGAAGCACTTTCTAGGAGAAGGAAATGGCACCCACTCCAGTATTCTTGCCTGGAAAACCCCAAGGATAGAGGAGGCTGGCAGGCTACAGCCCATGGAGTCACAAAGAGTCGGATACGACTGAGTGAGCACAAATGTGAAGCACTTAGCAAATCTGAAGAGTTCTGCAAAGTCTTAATAAAAACACTTTGATGCTTGGGGTAAAAATTGCAATTTATTATTCTGATTACCAATAATATTGACTCTAGCAAAGTTGGTGCACTTTTCAATTAATAAAAGTTATTTAGACAAATGTTCAAGTCAGATGGTAAAATAAGCACTTAATTAAATGAAGTACTTCAAAAGAAATGCATGCAGCCTTAATCCTTAAACTAAAGACACTATGAAGCTAAATGTCCAGCATTTATTTACCCATGGTTTTAATTCTGGGTTATCATATGGTAATATCCAATGACATAACTTAAAAAAGAACAATCTCCCTGCCCTCCACACACAATTTTTTTTTCCCTATTCATAGAAAGACAAAATAGGATATGATGAAATACTGGCAATCAGAGTACGATGATTAAGGACACTGGGGAGTGCCATGAATTTCACATTCATTTGATCATAATGTAGAAGATTGCTGTTTATTTTTCAATGTAATTCCAGGATACAGAGAAATTTTATTTTTATTCTTTAAGAAGTAAAATTACTTTGAAGTGCCCTAAATAAAAATTACTTTCAGAAACCCTAAATAAATAAAACCAAAATACTTTAGAGGCCAAGTTGTTAGATTTGTGAAAACCTCATTGTAGATTATAAAGGAAGGATAAGATTTCTATAGTCAGGAAAGTTAGACACATAGAAGGAGAATTTCTAATAAGATAGATACCGCCTCTAGGAAACTGCATTTCCTTTCTTCTACATGGTACAGACAGTCTTCTACACTTTCCATAGAAACCATGGGTACAAAGCAACAATGAAGAGTTTGTAGGTAAAATGTTCACTGAGGAAAAAACCCACATTTGTTATCAAGTGATAGTGTGGACTGTTCAAGACAGAGGGCTGAAGTGCCAAGACTAGCAGTGGCTCACACTAGCCCTAGTGTGAGAGTGGACATGCATATCAACTATAATACACAACAGGGATGTGTTTCTGCCTCTCTGAAGAGAGAGAGAGTAAGGCGTAATGAGAGAAAATAAGACCCAGGAATTAAACACAAAGATTCTAAAACACTACTGCCTTAAATAAAACATAATTCTGTCCCTTACAACTGTATGATCTTAAGCAAGCCTTATAACCATTCTCTGCCTTAGTTTTTTTCCAAAGTGAAATATGTATAATAAGATTATCTACTTCAGAGATGGACTGTGAGAACAAGGAAGAACTCAATTCATGCTCATATTATGTGAGTTTAAAAGTTCTAAGCTACTACCTTCCTTTGATGGTAGATCCGTTCAAATAATACTTCACTGAAATTTGTATCTGTAAAGAGTAGAATCATGGATCTGATTGAGTCTGTTTTTTCTTTTGATTTTAAGTTAACTCAACCTGAGTTGTTGATAGGGGTTATATCAAAACATCAAGAATAAACAAAATAAAGTCCAAAGTTGCCACAAGCTATACACATTCCCTTGTAAAATTAATTTTCCTCATTTATAAGATACAGGGGTTGAAAACCCATGATTGAAACCAAGGGTATGCCATAGAATCATGAATGGAATTTTTATAAAATGCAATACAAGAATCCCATCTCTGCCCAATTGCATCTGAATCTAGGGTCAGAGTTGGTCAGAGTTGAGGAGTGCTAGGCATGTGTGTATGTTAAGAATTTTCACTGTTAAGGGTGAAAGGAGTAAAAAAGCTGGCTTAAAACTCAACATTCAGAAAACTAAGATCATGGCATCTGGTCCCATCACCCTGTGGCAAATAGAAGCGGAAAAAGTGGAAACAGTGACAGATTTTATTTTCTTGGATTCCAAAATCACTGTGGATGGTGACTGCAACCATGAAGTTAAAAGACGCTGGCTCCTTGGAAGCAAAGCTATGACAAACCTACACAGCATATTAAAAAGCAGAGGTATCACTTTGCCAACAAAGGTCTGTATAGTCAAAGCTATAGCTTTTCCAATAGTCATGTACAGATGGGAGAGTTGAATCACAAAGAAGGTTGAGAGCTGATGCTTTTGAACTGTGGTGTTGGCAAAGACTCTTGAGAGTCCTTTAGACTGCAAGGAGATTAAACTGGTCAATCCTAAAGGACATCAACCCTGAACATTCACTGAAAGGATTTGATGCTGAAGCTAAAGCTCCAACTGGGCCACCTGATGCAAAGAGCCAACTCACTGGACAAGAACCTGATGCTTGGAAAGATTAAGAGCAGGAGAAGCACGACAGAGAATGAGATGGTTGAATGGCATTGCTGACTCAATGGACCTGAGTTTGAGCAAACTCCAGAGATAGTGAAGGACAGGGAAGCCTGGCATGCTGCAGTCCATGGGGTCCAAAGAGCTGGGCACAATTTGGTGACTGAACAACAACTGTTAACTGGGTTTTCACTATAAAACATCATTAGATGATTTGTGAGGTTGACTCTATATGTATCATTGTATCATTCTAATAATCTTTAATCTAAACACCATTTAGTCATTTTTAAAGTAATCTTATTACTTTAATCATTTTTTAAAAAATTCAACACAACATAATGATGACTTTTTCCCTGAATTAGATCCTCCTATGAAACAAAGTGACCGAACTAGAATCTAAGAGGAGTAGTGACAGCAAGACGGCTTGACCTCACCAACAATTTCACCGCTGGCCAGACCTGTCACTGTAAAGACACCCGCTGTCCCCATGGGATGTACTAACCACTTTTAATTAATGTCCACAAACCTCAGTCAAACAGTTCAGAATGGCTGACTCCTAGGGACTATGTGCTTTTTAAAAATCTACCTATTGAGAAAAATAAGATAATTCAATTCGACTACTGACTGAGAAAAACAAGGGGACACATGTGAAATCACTCCAAGCCATGGCCCCAGCGTTGGTCATGTCGCCACGGTGAGCTGAAGGCAAAGCATGATCAATCTGACTGTGGGCACTATGTCCTTCCTCTTAGAGAAGTTTACATGCTCAGCTGAGATAAACATAATGAACACATTGAATTTTCTCCCTGTGAAAGTCAATGAACAGTGATCTTTTTTCTTCAACTTACTTTGATTTCTTCATGTACAGCCAATAGACGACACCGGCAACTAGGGCAGCGAGGAGGAGACCAACAACAATTCCCACAATTAGTTTTGCCTGGTCATTAACCTTTTCTTTGTTTTCATCTACAACAAAGAAGAAAAGCCCATGCAATTACAGACAATGCCAAGCATTTCTGAAAAGAAGTCAATCTAGTTATTATTTCTGATTAAAAATGACCAAGGCTCACTACTAAGAGTAACATGCAAACTTGTGCTTCTAAAGGATTAAAATTTTAGCATTCTTACTATCTTGTCTCATTTGCTATTTTAACTCAAATCAAAATGTGGCAGCTAGGGGAATTACTTATGCAATGTCACTTCATAAATCTTGAGCAGATAGTCAAGGAAGAAGAGCCGGCAGCATAGTACCTACCACTTATCTCGTCTGCCTCATCGTGTTCTGGAATACTTACTGAAATGAAAAATGTTAATATGAAATTAAAAACAAAATTTGTTGATATATGAAAGTCACCTTTACCATTATAGTATGATGTAATAATTCTCAAAGATAAAATATCTATTCTACAGTTGAGGGTAGAAAAATTTACATTTAATAAAGCGTGAACTTCCGTACAAAGAAATTCATCTTGTTTTAAAGAAAAGACAGTAGATAAAACTGCAGAGGTATTGATCTACCATAGAAAACTTCACAACTGACAAACTATAGTATTAATCTGAAATCCATATTAACTTTCCCACTATCTACCACCTTTTAATAGGATTTTTATTTTTAGGAGAAACAAGTTGCAATGCATGGAATCTACAGAGTAGTATTTCTCAACTTCAATTTTCCTGCCTCAGTGGAGGAGAATTTATTTTCATACCCTAGTGTCAGAGATTTGCCACTTAGAGACATTTTCAAAGTGGTAGGTGTGGTGGTTAAAACTGGGGACATCTCAGAGGTGAAGGTGCAATATATGTGATGCTTGTAAAAGCCCTCCAAATGACTAATAGCACTATGACCTTGGCCCACTTAAGGGATTGTCACTGTGGTGGATTATCATTTAGTATTAGACTAAATAAATATTTTTATTTATGGCTTGCATCAGAATTTTCAGTGATGATTGTTAAAATGCAGATTCCCAGACCCTCCTCATACCTACTATATTGGAATTTTAGGAGGTGCTCATTGACTTTGAAAATGATGGTATTAAATGTTGATCAAACCACTGCAAGGTCTATAAAGCCACCGTTTAATGGGTTAGAATTAAAAAGAGAGACTTGTGTTCAGGAAGAAAGGATAACTTCTCTTTTAGGTAGGACAGATCAATACTCACTGAATTGAATTCAGAGAAGTCAATGCTCCTATTTTAGAGTTAAATTCATTTGATTCTTTTCTCCTGTCAATCCAAAAGGCTTTTATGTTCCAGTCATATTCTGTTAAGGGCCATTATCTTTAGAAAATTATTTTCTCCTAGCTTCAGCTAATTCCTAGCCAGTATATCTCTATCTTGCTAAAATCACATAGAGGATTCCAACTGACTGAGGAATGAAAGTTTGCAGAGTCAGTTAGTATCCTGTCCAGATCTGAGTCTCAATCTAGGCCAGCCCTGATTTAAGACTAACACAGCAAAATAAAGAATTATAGAATCGAAGATGATAGATAACTTCAAATTAAATAAAGAAGCAGATATTGGTATGTATCCATTACCTTGATTTCAGCATTGACAGATTTTTTTCACTTTCTCTGAGATTATCTCATTTGTTTGATTTTTAACCTATGATTCAAATATGATATTCAAATGCATCAATTTTTGAAACTAAACTTTTGGATTCCTGATACCAGTTTTACTACCAATTTGCTGAATGACTTTAAGCATGTGGCATTCCTTTGCAAAATAAGAATAGGATAAATACCACAAAGAATTGAAATGCAAAATAATAGATTAAAGGGAATTAAAAATTTACCAAATTTAAAACTGTTAGAGAAATGTTTTCAGGTAATCTTTGAATCATCTGTACTCTGAACACAAAACATGGATTAAATAAGAGCAACACGGTCCTTATCCTCTGTTGATCTTGGAAATAATCCTGTACAAGATAAAGTCTCTGATCCATAAAACATGAAATGATTTAACTGTCAAGACAAGGATTGTAAAGAATGGACACCAGGAAAAAAAAAAAAAAGAATCTTATGATGATGATACCAAATGTAAAATAAATAAAACTTACCATAATGCAGTACAGGAAGATGGAATTGAAGATTTTAAACTAATGAAGAATAACTTCAAATTTTCTTACTTTTTTTAATGCCAGAAATGAAATACTCACTAGCAGAGACATTCAAGGAGTTTACTGTTCTCTCCAGCTGGTTTTCTGCTGTGCAAGTTAATGTAACATTCTCTTCAGGGGAAATGATAATTTTACTATAATACCTGCCATTGATATATGGAGATTCCTCTGTCTGGAAAAAGAAAAGGAAAATGGCTTTAGAATAAATGTAACTCCATGGCTGATTCATGTCAATGTATGACAAAACCCACTGCAATGTTGTGAAGTAATTAGCCTCCAACTAATAAAAATAAAGGAAAAAAAAAAGAAATGGAAATGAATTAAAAACATAGGAAAGGGTAACACTGAATGGAACAAGATAGGTGTGGTGCTCTGCGGCATTATCTGGCATGCAAGGGTATTTGTAAGTTCATAGATGAGACCAGGTCAGGTTTCTAACTACATCAGAGAGGAAAAAGAATAGTGAATCCATACTTGGATTTCTCTTTATGTTTCTATTATTAATTTAAATAATTAAACTAACTAAGCTCTTCTTTTTCAATAGATGTCTCAAGTTAGTCTATATTTTGGCATGATAGTACCTATCAAAAAATAATTAATTAGTGATTAACTCATCGGCAGTTTTCTCCTAATAAATGTATGAGTTTAATTCTATTTGTAAACTATGTCCTCAGTTAGCAGAGCATGGGACCCTTCACCCCAGGGTGATGGGTGATGCCCTAAGTTGGGGAGTTGCTCGCCTATCTTTAGGGCTTCCCTGGTAGCTCCGCAGTAAAGAATCTGCCTGGAATGCAGGAGATGTATGCAGGAAATGTGCGTTCAACCCCTGGATCAGGACGATCCCATGGAGAAGGAAATGGCAACCCACTCCAGTATTCTTGCCTATATTCTTGCCTGGGCAATCTCAAGGACAGAGGAGCCTGGTGGACTACAGTCTGCAAAAGAGTTGGACATGACTTGTCGACTAAACAACAAAACTGTCATTCCCCTCCACTACAATACTGAATTCTTTTATTTTAAACCATGATACGTACGTGCATATGTATCTATCGTTTTCTCATGGGAAAACCAGACTCTCTCTCTCTCTCTCTCTCAATTTTATTGAGCTAAATACAGAGGATGGGTTCTTTTTCAATACTGGTGATGAGGGTAACCACTGCTATTTAATTTCTTCAAACATAAGAGACAATCCACACTACTCTCTTCCGTAAGAGGATTCTCAGTCCAACTCCACTAAAGCAGGCAAGTACTTGCATTGTTTTCTGAGACATATTATACACACCACGTCCGCTAGTCCTCTATTGCTCTATATTTGCTTCCTCCTCAACTGCATTGTAAAAGCCTTGAGGACAGGAGAGAGCTTCATGATTAGAGATAGCGTGGGGTCCCTGGGATAGGGGTGGGACAGAGGTACCAATAGTTGTAAAATAATAGATTCACCATATGATGGAGGAGGGAACAAATAAAAAAATTATGGCTGGATCAGCACAAGCCTAGGACAAGAAAAATAACATATCACCTAGTGGGCCAGAATCAATCCTTCTCCTTGACAATGAAGAATGGAATTATTACTTTTATCCTCATAGTAAGTTCACCTGCTATTTTTTCCAATTCCCACTAGTATTTTTCATATGACTTTCTCACTGGACTTTTCTCATATGACTTTTTAAATTTGTATTATTTTTATCTCTACAAAATGCATTTGCTTATTTCCAGGTTGACCTTTTAAGTCTTTGTATCTTTTTCTTCATTAAGCACTTATCTGATAATTTTTTTATTTTTTATGTTTGCATTACACAGAAAGAAAAGGTCTTTTTGCTGTAATTATTATTAAATTGAACTAGAGAGCAAAAAAAAGAATAGAGTAGAATAGAAACAGTCATTTTTGATGCTAAAAAAGAGATCTAAACATTGTCAGCAATTCAGGTCTTTATTCTTAAATCAAGAGCTCTTTGTCATCCTCAGGCATGTTATCTTACTTGTGCGTCCCATCACATATAACCAAGTCAGGAAGCATTTGCTTGTGTCCGCTCCTTTAGGGACATTCCATACTTGAGTTATGCAAATAAACATGCATCACCCATAGTTGAAAGAGCTAAAATTCACCATGTTCTGCAAAACTAGACTATATAAGTTGGACCAGTAGCCCACCTTCAATAGACAGAGAAAGAGTGGACACTGTAAATTACAATTCTGGTTTATGCATGCCTTCTCAGATTTCAACAGAGTCGAAAGCTGGGAAAGAGGCAACGCAGATGACCCAGACAATCAAGTGGCTCGTGTGGGTACTCCTGAGGAACCCCTCAGAGGCCCCACTGAGGAGGGGACATGGAGACCGCCGCAGAGAGAATGGGGTTACCCAGTATGTCAGTAACCCGAGCTGGCAGCTTAATGGGGCTACAGCTCTGAACAGTCTGTGATAAGCCGGATTCTCATACTTTTTTGTCAAAGAGAAAATTACTGGTAGTGTTCATACATTCTTGGCCTTTTACTACTGCAAACTAAAATGGTGCGACAAAGGTACAAATATTACTGCTTGGTTTACATACACGTCTGTTCAGCAAAAATCATCCTAGATACTATATATTTAGCTAGCCTTACTTTGGCCCCAGTACACACAGATCAGACCATATGTTCACAGTGACTATGTTCTTCACCATTCCCCAGGGTAGAATATCAAGAAGAAATAACCCATAATGTGCATAGAAGTAAGCAAAATGTAAGTGAGGTCACTTATACTAAGAGGTGGAAGTTCAGGATGTAGGTAAATATATACCTTAATGTTTTAATCACCCAAATTCAGGAATTAGTGACCATGGGATATTACCTAATTTATATATTTTTAAAATTTATTTTTAATTGGAGGATAATTGATTTACAATGCTGTGTTGGTTGCTGTGGTACAACAATGTGAATCAGCCATAAGCATACATATATCCCCCCACTTGAGGCTTCCTCCCACCTATGACACCCCTCTAGGTCATCACAGAGCACCGTATGCTATATAGCAGCTTTCCATGAGCTATCTATTTTATACATGGTCATATACATATGTCAATACTACTCTCAATTTGTCCAGATACTGACCACAATAAAGTAAATCTTCCATACTCCATGACCCTAGGATTTTAAATTTCTCTTTGAGCTATGGTCTTCCTTTGGGAAAATTAAGAAGTTAGCAAAAGCTTCCTCTGAGGACATACTGTGAATTTCGTGTTGATAATAAGTTAGATTACAGTTTAGGTACCTAAATAAAACCACACACTGGACCAAGTACAGCACACAACAAGAAGACAAATACTTGCTTGATTTATGACACTTCCACTGCCAGTAATTGTCCACTGTATAGCTGGCTTTGGAAAACCTTCCACATGGCAGATTATTGTTTTAGACAGTCCACTAGGGTCAGTTTTCTTTGTCATTTTGATTTGAGGTTTTCCTAAAAATATTACAATTAAAATAAGATGTTGAACTGAGATCATAAAAGAAACAGATTAAATTCTCAAAGAAAATTCTGAATTGGTGCTCATGTATTTTATTACCTTCTACAATCAGAGTCAACGACTCTCTTTTCTTTAATCCTTCAACCTCTTGCAGAGCAGTTTCACAGACATAGTTTCCAGCATCCTGGTAATGGAGACTAGAAAATGATGGGCTAGATCGAAGCTTGATGTTATCCTGATTAAATAAAAAGTTAATTATGTCACATGGCACAATTATAACTCTCCATGTATTTATTACATAGTAATAAAGATTGAAATTATTCTTCTGGGCCTAATGAAAATGAAAACTTCTTTTCTTAACTTCAAATGCTTTCACAAATAGATTTCCTTTTTCCTCTGTACTTTTAGAGTTAGACAAATCAGAGTTTTATTTCAGACTCTTCCATTTACTGAATTTATATTTGGAACAAGTTCATAAACTTCTGAGATTCAGCTTCCTTGCTTGTAAATAGGGTAGTAATCTTACCATATTAAAGACAATTATCAAGACGGAATTTATTACAGAACAATTAAGACAAAAATGTGTTTTAAAGAAAAATTTTAAATGGCTTACTATACTAAAATTTCTGTGAACAAAGGAAATGCAACATTTAACTTCAAAAATAATTTGATATACAGAAAATAGTGCTATTTACCAGGAACTGAAATGCTCCTAAGGCAACTAAACACAATCTTAAGATTACATGGTCTTTGTACACTATAATTTTTTTTTCCATTTCCATCAACTAACCAATAGCCAGGCAATATTGATCAGCACTACTGATATGAGTTATTCAATCGACAACAGTGAAGGCAGATTATGAGGAAACTGGTTTAACCAAGTAAACTTAGCTTCTCTAGTTCTGAGTAAAAACACCATGAGAGTTCATATACCAAAATCCTATCAAGCCCCTTGACCATTAACTGCCATAACACATCATGTTAAGTATTCAGTCTATGGAGTGACATTTTAACTATGTGAGCAAATAAAATGTTGTGATGAGGCTGTGTTTAAGAGAAAACAAAATAATAAACTGAGTTTTAAGAGTTAAGATAACAAGTAACAGAGTATCTGGCATGAAAAAGAGATAAAAAACCAATAGAAAATAATTTACATTTTCATCTAAAAGAAACTGGAGCAGTACATTTCCCACAGCTTTTTACAAACATAATTCTTGTCAACCCCTATTTTAAGTGGTTTGATGTGTTTTGTCAACTCATTACTGATGAAGTGCTTCTGCTACATGTCACATTACAGGAAAAAACAGACTGGGTGTTTAGATATACTAGTTAAGGATTTGAGTGGAGGGAACCTAGTAACAATCTTTCCCTTTGTTGATAAAGAAAGAAAGTGAATGTGAAGTCGCTCAGTTGTGTCCGACTCTTTGTGACCCCATGGACTATAGCCTACCAGGCTCCTCCATCCATGAGATTTTCCAGGCAAGAGCACTGGAGTGGGTTGCCATTTCCTTCTCCAAGGGATCTTCCTGACACAGGGATCGAACCCAGGTCTCCCACATTGTAGGCAGCCGCTTACCATCTGAGCCACCAGGGAAGTCCTGATGATAACCTTACCTTTGTTGATAACTTTTGTTAATAACCTTATCTCAAGTCACCAATTTCCAATGCTACCGATCTCACTCTAAAAAGATAACAGCAATGGTTGGGTCTCCAGATAATAACCTACATTTCAGATTATAATAAGAACATAAGCACTCAGGACAGCATATTAAAAAGCATAGACTTTTAAATATGTCTTTAATAATAATAATAATAAGTCTTTAATAATACTTTGCTGACAAAGGTTTGCTGACAAATACTTTGCTGAAAAAGATAACAGCAATGCTTGGGTTCCCAGATAACGACCTATATTTCAGATGATAACAAAAACATAAGCACTCAGGACAGCATATTAAAAAGCAGAGACTTTTTAATATGTATTTAGTAATAATAATAATAATAAGTTTTTAATAATACTTTGCTGACAAAGGTCCATCTAGTCAAAGCTAGTAGTCATGTATGGATGTGAGAGTTGGACCATAAAGAAAGCTGAGCACTGAAGAATTGACGCTTTTGAACTGTGGTGTTGGAGAAGACTCTTGAGGGTCCCTTGGACTACATGGAGATCCAACCAGTCAACTGTAAAGGAAATCAGTCCTGAATATTCATTGGAAGGACTGATGCTGAAGTTGAAGCTCCAATACTTTGGCCACCTGATGTGAAGAACTGACTCATTGGAAAAGACCCCGATGCTGGGAAAGATTAAAGGCAGGAGGAGAAAGGGATGACAGAGGATGAGATGGTTAGACAGCATCACTGACTTGATGGATATGAGTTTGAGCAAGCTCTGGGAGTTGGTGATGGACAGGGAGGCCTGGTGCGCTGCAATCCAAGGGGGTCACAAAGAGTCAGACACGACTGAGCGGCCGAACTAAATTGAACTGAAGCACTCAGGAAATACAGACTAAGCTCCTAGTATGTTCCAGGTGTTCTACCACAGCCCAGGGGTGACAAGAGATTGCTACCATCAAGGAGCTACTAATTCATGGAACCCACATCCAGACACTTAAGGTCAGTCTCAACTGAAAGGCAGAAGGTTATGTGACTAAAGTATGGTGTTTATGCTGGGTAAGGCCTGAGCTTGAGCCTCTGCTCTGTCACCTATGAGCTCTCTGATTTCTCTCACTTCAAGTTCTTTCAAATAATGTATGGAACTAACCATTTTCCTGCATATTTCACAGGGTTTTATAAACACACTGTTAAGAACATTATGGCTTAAAACACACTGGAAATTGTTAACCCCTAAAATATATAACTGTATATGCGTGTGTGTCCATATGCATGTGTATATGTCTACAATTACTTAGTAAATACACATAATTAAATTAATGCCCCAAACAAAGTTTCAGAGCAACAATTATGGATGCCATAGTGATACTGAGTACCTCTAAATTTTATTGTAGTCTATTTATTATTATTATATATATAAAAAAAGAGAGTATGAGTTTGCATGTATAAACATATTACACATGAATATACAAGAGAAGCCTAAAAGGAGTCAGTCCAAAAGAAGAACATTACCAGGAATACTACTTACTTTCATCCACACCACAGTTGCATTCCTACTGGCAGATATTGTGCATGACACAGGCAGAGCATCGCCAATCTGCTTGGTCACCTCCCCACTTGGGTTTAAGGACAAATCCAAATCTGTGAAGCAGAAAAATCTGCTTGAAATACAACTCCAGAAAATGAGACAGTCAAAATATTTTTGGAGAAAAATAGATGAAAGAAAGAAAAACTCCTGCTAACTCTACTTGAAATTCAGGAGTGATTTATGTGACTGAAATAACTCAAGTGTAGCATAATCACTCTAATTTTTCAAGCCAGCTTTGAGAATAGTTTGGACAAGTGTGAATGGTCAATTTAATTGATTATGTGTTTATATGCAGTTAACATGATTGATGTTTTGAATGCATGTAAGTATTCATCTGGGGTCTATTACCTTCAGAAAAAATTTTTTAAATCACTTCTGGAAGAAAATAAAGAAAGATGATGACTAAGTAAATATTATGAAAAGAATTGAAAAGACATACCATGGGAAATCAAGTATATCTACACAGCAGGTGATAAACTAAAATATCATAAGGTGTTTACATGTTTCTTCAGAGAGAATTGACTATAGTAGCTAGATATTTTTTAAAAAAATGCTATCCCATTTTTCATGCAGTTGAAATTTTAAATTTAAATATTTTTTGTTGAAGGATAATTGCTTTATAGAATTTTGCTGTTCTCTGTCAAACCTCAACATGAATCAGCCATAGGTATACATACATCCCTTCCCTTTAGAACCTCCCTCCCATCTCCCACCCCATCCCACCCCCTAGGTTGATACAGAGTCACTGTTTGAGTTTCCTGAGCCATACAGCAAATCCCTGTTGGCTATATATTTTACATATGGTAATGCAAGTTTCCATGTTACTCTTTCCATACATTTCACCCTCTCCTCCCCTCTCCTCGTGTCCATAAGTGTATTCTGTATGTCTGTTTCTCCCTGTTGCCCTGAAAATAAATTTTTCAGTACCATTTTCCCAGATTCCATATATATGTGTTAGAATACAATATATATATTTCCCTTTCTGATTTACTTCACTCTGTATAATAGGCTCTAGGTTCATCCACCTCATTTAGCACTGACTCAAATGCATTCCTTTCTATGGCTGAGTAATATTCCATTGTGTATATGCACCATAACTTCTTATCCATTCATCTGTCAATGGACATCTAGGTAGCTTCTATGTTTTAGCTGTTGTAAATAGTGCTGCAGTGAACAATGGGATACATGTGTCCTTTTCAATTTTGATTTCCTCAGGGCTTAGGAGTGGAATTGCTGGGTCACCGTCTAGTCAAGGCTATGGTTTTTCCAGTGGTCATGTATGGATGTGAGAGTTGGACTGTGAAGAAAGCTGAGCACTGAAGAATTGATGCTTTTGA